GAGCCATACCGGTCCGACTACTGGCACCAGCGTCTCGCGCAGGGACACGTGGCACCCCCTGAGTACATGCAAGCTAACGAGAAGATGCACTTTATCGAACAACCACGAGAAAGAATTGATTAGCAAAATATATCACCTCTAATAGTCATATATCTGTAATGTCGTCTATTAGCAACAACGATGAGAGCGGAAACATTCATGTGTGATCTAGACCTATAATTAATTTATCATAAGCACCTTGCTCAATATTGTTAATTAACTTAATAAGTAGGTTGAATTAATTAATCCTATTTACATATTAAAATTTTACGAGTAAGGAGTTGGGTTGCTATGACGTACGATTGTAATTTATTCAGTGTTGTCAGCGTATCGAGGCCCGGCTGTGGTTAGACTGTGCACGTAACAAATAAAAAATTACCAAGCCACATAAATGCACCCACAATGGTATACTGGAACATTCTGTAATTCACGTGTTAGATGGCTAATGGTGACAATTATTTGCGGCAAGTTTAGAAATAAATATTATTGAATAACTAGTATTCTGTAAGTTGGCATATAAATATACTTGTTTGTAACACGAGGTATCTATATAAGATCGTAAGGCCGTTTGTGTGTCGTGTACCTTCTCAGTTATTGAGCATGGAACCGGGTCGTTCCGTCACAGACAGTTACATGGATATGTCGTTTAGGTCTTAGTGTGTATTTTTAAGTGGAACGTTTACACGAATTTGTGAAAATAAGTGAAATATCAGATGTACAAACAGTTCGAAATGGCTGCTGTTGTTGTAGCACGGAGTACATGTTGGAGTGGCTCGCAGCGCATTCTAAGATAGCGCGCGCAAATGACGTCACCAGTGCGTAAGTTTATACACTTTCTATTACACACGCAATGCCAGTAAGTATCATAGTGGTCGGAAAAATACGATAACGGCCAAGAAGACCGCACGCACGCACACATTGAAAATTACTAAAACTCATCATCAATATCTTAATGTAGGTTTCTCTTTTAGGCTTGGGCGTTTCGTAAGAACATTACTTTCTATATTAACGTTTTTAAACTGGTTCTTGCTATATAATATACTTGTGTTTTACGCCCTTTCGGAGGTGAGAGATCACAGTATGAAATCCGACAAAGGCCTACCTACCTACCACTAGGTCGGAATATCTATCTTTCCTATGGTCATTAATTTAATGATCACTAAAACTCACATAACTAAAACCGATTCTAAGCACTTATGACGAGTTATGACTTAAGACTTTGTTTATCCTATCTAAGCCAATAGTGTACGACGTATGTACATTGTTAACAAAATGTCACAGATTGAATTAGAACACCAGAAACAAACGCTACGACGGTAATTCTCAGAAAAGAAAGGCTTTTGAATTTGGCGAATATTAATTGAAGGTGCGGCACATTTTTTGGCAGCGATATATTTATGATATTTCCCATCGCAAATTGCATCGTGCCAATTGCAGTTGTACGCCGATGATTATAATATATATATAGCCAATACGCACAGACTGGTCGAGTTTACTGGATGCCCTAGAGTTGCCGACGGAAGCAGTATTTCGCTGAATTTCTGCAATATTCCTAGAGAGCGCGTCGCCAGCACTAGGCCGGTGCATGCGATAACAAATTTCGCTAGCGTCTCAGCCCGTCGCAGAGGCGACGTCGGAAAGAGGGGGCATAAGTCTATATTATGTGCATATTGCCGTCGGCCGTACATAAAAGATGGCGCTTTGCAATTCGCAAATACGCAAGCGGTCGGCGAATTTTACCATGTTTTCCTATAGGCGGATAGCCTTTTTTTCGTTCGACAGAACTTCTTATCGTTTAATTGAACTTTAAAAAGATTTCACTTATGCCCCGTATAATACGCAGCTTGCGCGTTATGAAAACAAAACGTTAGGTAAACTGTTAAAACGTATCTGCCATGATATTCACAACTTCACGCCCTGTAAGTGCCATAGGATTTATTATCACCGTGTATGGCTGTATTGATAAAGAGGGCCTCTAGTGACATCAATACAGTCGAACGAATATACCTACATACCATTGTCATGTTTACGTATCTGTATGAAAAATGAATATTACTTTGCGCATTGAATAATTGCGAAATGAGTATAGTGTGACATGGTGTAACTTATTTGCAGGGCGGGTACTTGGAATGAATCATACTTCGAATAAAAAACACCCAGTGTGGGTTCCCTAGAATAACCCACATCTTACGCGAGTTCTCTAATTATCACGTTCCTCTGCGTTATTGTCACGTTAATTTACTGCATTGTATATAACTACACGCTGTGAAACTATATACCGGCTCAACTAACCATGTGAGACATAATGTAACATTATAATTTGCAGGGCGCGGCTACTTTTGAAAGAACACCCAATCATATCCTGTAAATAAAAAACGCCCTCTACATTTCTGGTAGTCTCCGAGGTAGCTAGGATATGCGAATGAGGAAGAAGAACAATCCCATTAGCCAATAGACAACGCCGTTAGTGTATAAACGAGCGTACGGTGCGTTTATTACTGTGAGCAACCGTCACATACGGCACCCTGGTAAGTATAGTAGCGGAGGGGTGTCGTGCACTCGTCAGGAGATCCACTGCATCCACACGCGGTCCTAGCCGTGGCCCGTGCGTTATATGTATATATATATAATAGCTATAAATGTATACATATAGCAACAAAATTACCTGTCCTATTTCTTTCGTCACGCATGCCCTCCATCGACCCAAAAAGGCTACTTGAGTGCGAGGTGATATTCCCACCACTGGTTTGCACATGCAGACATGCTAGAATATACCTGAAACAGTTTCATATAATTGTTCCGCTCTACCACCGCTTACGTAACGTTACTAGAAAGACCCGGCGACCGACATTGATCAGGCGCATATCAGATTGTCGTGATATAGTCTCTCTCTGTCTCTCTCTCTCTCTCTCTCTCTCTCTCTCTCTCTCTCTCTCTCGCGCGCGCGCGCGCGCGCGCTCTGCCCCTCTCTCGCTCTCGCTGTCTTTTTTTCTTGCACTTTTTATTATCTTTCCTTTCTAGTCCCACATTTCTCTGTTTCCTCTTTGGTCCCATCTTTACTCTGTACCTAACACCCGACCATAAACTTCCAGTACATTTGCAGCTGTCTGATATTTTCTGTGGCATTTAATAGAGGTCGAGTGTATAGCCTATGTTTAGAATATATATATATATATATATATATACATGGTAAAACCGGGTATTTCAAAAGCTATTCAGGGTGCTTGAACCACTTACCTGGAGGCTGGAAATACTCTGGATTAGGAACGCACGTTTTAGGCATGTGTCGGTTAGAATGAAACAGCAGGTATAGGATGCTATAGTTTCACACTTTATTTAGGCATGTATCGGTTAGAATGAAACAGCAGGTATAGGATGCTATAGTTTCACACTTTATTTAGGCATGTATCGGTTAGAATGAAACAGCAGGTATAGGATGCTATAGTTTCACACTTTATTGTTGCGTGGATTGTGGAAATGTAACACTATACTATCAGCTAAAGTAACACTATACATAGCAATAATCTAGTTATACAATATAACATGTTTAACAATAATTTAACGTGGTATCCTTGTGAAATCAAGGACAGGCTGTTCATAATGGCAACTATTTGTATTAAGACAAATACCACACAATGGAAAGTACGCGCACTTAATTAAAGCATTCAATAGACGTATATAGATACATTTTACGAGATTATATTTTCTGTCAAAGTTATAAGATTGCTTATCGATTTAAAGGACAAATTTGCATAAAAATCAATAATTAAATAGCAATTACCCCCATAAAGTAACATCAGTAACCAAACATTCTATTATGGTAAAACGGACGAAAATTAACAATACATAACTAGGTATAAAAACAGCAAACATTTGATATACTGCTACACTAATAAAGTCAGCAAAACAAATTACGTCATTTAAGCTCGTTGCTGCGTTATTATCCTTAGCGTGAACCCCGTTTCCACTGTGGCAATAATAAACAGCTGTTAAATAAAAACCAACAACAACAACAACAAGCTACGCATAAACAAATAATGAAACTTTCAATGTGTAGTTGGATAAAATCAGGGGTGGATAATGGCAGGTCTGATCATTCAACCCTGATAATAGTGGTATATAGAGCAGGATATGTGTCAGGAGTAGATAATAGGGAATTTCCCTATTATCTACTCCTGATATGTGTTCTACTTTTTCTTGCCATACCCTCCATAACCAGCACCACCAAAGCCGTATCCTCCGTGACCGTATCCTCCTCCGTGACCGTATCCTCCTCCGTGGCCGTATCCTCCTCCGTGGCCGTACCCTCCTCCGTGGCCGTATCCTCCTCCGTGACCATATCCTCCTCCATGGCCGTATCCTCCGTGACCTTGCGGATGGTACCTTTATTGTGCATATTATTTTAAATAGTAATAATAATAATCTAGTAAATTAATTTTTTCTACAGAACAGAAGTGACCTAGAAGGAATCTAGAACAGCTGTCAGGTAATCATACTGCCAAAAAACTGGAGAAGATCGCACTGATGGGAATCGTACATAACCTACGTATTTAAAGTGTCAAATTATCTAGTCTAAGAGCTAATTTTAAGACAAGGCATAGAAAATTGAAGACGTGGAACACCCCCTGTATATTTGATATATAGAATATTTCTCGGCATGATGTACTGATGAAACGATAGGACGATACCATGTGAGAGACCAATTTTGTTATTACTATATACTTTCTCGTTGTGTAATAATATAAGGGGTATGGTTCATAAGCTACAACATACCCGTGTGTACATGGTCGAGATTCGGTTTATGAAAATACCGCCCACAAAAGGCGAGAAGATTAAGAATATAATAACAATAATAATGATTAAAAAATTATTATAATAATACCACCATTACTATCAACTACCGCCGCCGCCACCGTCCCTACCGCTACGGCTACTTCTGCTACTATTACTACTACTACGTACTACAACTACTACTACTACTACTACTACTACTACTACTACTAATAATAATAATAATAATAATAATAATAATAATAATAATAACAACAATAATAATAATAATAACTCTTTAACAAGGTGTACACGAACTGGAACAAAACATGAAGAAGTATATATAAATGTTGAATAAAAAAAGTATGACTCGTAGCATAAAAGTAGGCCCTACTGCTAAAATAACAATCCGTAACGGAGCAGGCAGATTAATTGCTGGTAAAATTGCTTTGCTTATTGTTCTTGGGTCATTTGCGATGGCGTGCGAGCGCAGCTAGGGGCATGTATACCTTTGGAAAATTGTGCCATGTTTGTGTGCTTTACTGGAGTACGTGGTCGTGGCGACTGTAGTTGTCCTAATCCTCGATGCAGCATAATGCGACAGATATGGTGAGTTACTTATACGTGTGTGACCATAGCCAAAGTTTCTTACGACGACCACCTGTATAGCGAAAACTAAATCATACAACCCTGCGCTATATCTTTACGGCCAATAATTATTCATTCATCTCTGTATCTGAGCCAACCATCAGGTTGCCTCTGCCGCACTGTTCGTCCGTCCGTCTGTCCTCATCGAATCTATAGATTCATTTAGTTATACATCAATCAATTAATTATTCGTCACTGTCGATATTGTTAAACGCATGCTTGCACACGATATATACACTAAATATATCTTTATACATATACATTTTCGTACAGACTTACCGTTCCTAGAAAGACAATGGAAAACAGGAGCAGTTGTACCGATTTCATTATGGCTCCACACAGTACCTTTGCGACAGTATCACGCAGAAATATCCGTTTGCCCGTGTAGTGCGAGAACACAGTGTCCGTAACTGACAATATAGTGAAACAGACAGAGAAATATATGTCAGTGAGAGCGAGAGTATGGAATTAACCTAAATCAGCGATGTGTATATATCTACGCAGGGAATTTTCGGGCCTTGCTCGGTTGACCCAGTATATGTAATGCATTGCTACATCTCACACTCACTCTCTCTCCACTCGATGTTTGCCTTCCTTTGTGCGAAATTAGCAACCCGTATATGATTCTTCGAGTATCATTTATTCAACAGAGTTGAATGGCCGCTTTCACCAGCGGTTGATGAAAAAACGATACGGCATCTAAAGTGCTGAACAACGCGCGACCCCAAGATGCGCACCCAATGGGGGCTGATACATCTACAGCTACAGAACTACTACATCTCTCTACATCTCTCAGGCTACTGACAGAAGAAATCGCCAGAGGAAGAGACGCAGTAATCAAAACCTCGCTCTATGAATAACATGACGCATTATAATTATATTTCTTTATTTTAATGTTATGAATTCATGGTGTCCGTGCGCTTATGTCATATATATATATATATATATATACTTCTATCAAATCTTTAATATAATTAAAAACTAAGTCCACGTAAACGAGCAGGGGCCACCCCGCGACCTGTCTCAACCAATCACCCTCAACCTGTTCAAACCTCGCACCTCCAGAAACACAGCAACATCTCAGTTAAGTGTTAAAATTAAGCTGTCGTCTTAGCTAAATCCGGGATTTCATCGGGAAATCGGGACCGGCGTGTAACAGGTGAGAGAACGTCGTTACGTCGACTCGACGTGGCGTATAGAAGCTCGCTACATTCATTCTAGCTAGTTGCGCTGTATCCGTGTAATAAATGACGTGACGCATGACGACTACAGAGAATATGCTACTGATTCACTGAGGCGTCGATAATTTGGGCCCGCACAGTGGCCATCGAGCTAGGCGGCGTACAATACGACCGTTCGACGTTGAAACGGAATTTTAAATGTCTGCTGTTCCGTCGACAGCGTTCGGCAGTATCATCATCGACGGTACCGTTGTCGTCACGGAGTCGACAAGGTCTGCAGATCCATGCACGGGCGCGTTAATTGAAAGTAAGTGAGTGTTAGAACTCAAGACATAACTTCACAACACATTTCGCTTTCTAAAAATAGATCTCAAAATACAAAACAATTACAACTTAAAACAATTCTATGAAAAAAATAAAAAAAATAAAAAAGGCGTGGATCAGGTAATATATACTTCAACATTTATTCAGCTACATTTACTGACCGTTTTCACCGTTAAGTGGTAACATATTATAAAATTGATTTAACAACTAAGACGTTTATCATTATATACGGCAATAATATAAATAAATACATATATATATATATATATATATATAATTAATAGTCACTATTATCTATTGCTCGAAAATACAGCACCGGTATATTGGAGACGAAATTACCTCGACCGGCCCCCTCCCCCAACACCACCACACCCTCCAGCTACCCAACAACGCACTCCCCTTCCCAGCGACCCACTCATCTACACACCAATTCACTCATCCACGCAGCAACCTACCAAACCACACAACAATTAACGCACTCACCCTCACATCTATAGGCCTACCCACACACAAACGCAGACACCAAAAAATTCCTCGCCGCCGGCATTAACTGAAATTCTTTACCGCATGAACATGCTAATGTAGGGTATGGGATGAGGATAATCCTCTCGACTTTTGTTTCTACCATGAACATGCAAAATTATCTATCATCTATATCTAAAATCATTTATGCAAAATAACTCTATAGATTATACAGCTAGGTGTGCACGAAAGTGACGTCATGTGTGTAAAATAAACGCTAGGTGGGTGGTACCATAGAAATAATATACTAGTTAGGCTCTAGTCAGGTGTCGCTCTCTCTCTCTCTCTCTCTCTCTCTCTCTCTCTCTCTCTCTCTCTCT